CTCTCTCTCTCTCTCTCTCTCTCTCTCTCTCTCTCTCTCTCTCTCTCTCTCTCTCTCTCTCTCTCTCTCTCTCTCTCTCTCTCTCTCTCTCTCTCTCTCTCTCTCTCTCTCTCTCTCTCTCTCTCTCTCTCTCTCTCTCTCTCTCTCTCTCTCTCTCTCTCTCTCTCTCTCTCTCTCTCTCTCTCTCTCTCTCTCTCTCTCTCTCTCTCTCTCTCTCTCTCTCTCTCTCTCTCTCTCTCTCTCTCTCTCTCTCTCTCTCTCTGCAAAACACTGTTAACTTTCCATATAGTAGCTAATCTTTTTATTCGTGTATGAATTTAAAAAATTAACAGTGGACTTCCACACCACCCTTGAGATTCCACTAACGGCGCGTTAGGTTTTTCAAAGTGGACCTTCGCCTGGACCCATACAGCACGGAAATATTGCAGCAACATTGCAGAGATATTGTTTTGAAACATTGCATTATTGCAGCAAAATTGCGAAATGTTGCTGCAATATTGTAGCAACATTGCAGCAACATTAGAATGTCCGCCTTCAGCAATATTTCAATGCAACAATGCAGCAATATTGCGATGCAACTACGCAGCAATATGAAAAGCCAAGACTGCAGCAATATTGCAATGTAATAATGTAGCCACAATGCAATAAAATGCAATACAACGTTGCACGTATGTTTACAGGGTGATAGGAAACAATCCTGGGTTCTTGAAAAGACATAATCCTGACGAGATTCTGAGACGATTATTTCTTTTACAAAACTTTATCCGAAATCTAGTTTTTGAATTATAAAAGGCAATAGTTTTCTTATCACGAGTTGAATACCGGGCGTAGGCAATACCCAGTGAGAAATGATTCGTCGATCGACGTCGAAATGATGTCGAATCGACGTCAATTCGACGGTGTCGATGTCGATTCGATGTCGTTTCGACATCGATCGACGAATCATTTCTCACTGGGTAGCGGCGTAATTTATCGCGTCATACGTGGTCGCTTATGTTAGGTGGTTGTCAGTTGTCACGTCTGACGGTGAGTTGCGCCGCCACAGCCTACCTTCTGTATTCACCCTGATAATAAGATAACTATTTCCTTTCATAATTCAAAAACTATATTTCGGATAAAATTTTGTAAAAAAAAATCGTTTCAGAATCTAGTCAGGATTACGTCTTTTTAAGGACACAGAGTTGTTTCCAATCACCCTATATACATATATATAATAAATACACAGGGAGAGAACGCATGAATTGCCTCAGCTCTCGAGGTGAGGCAGCTCATGCGTGTATGCGAATGTGTTTCATGCGTAAAACGGAACGCAGAGCGAAAAAGTTATTCAGCGATAGAGTTATTTAGAATATTGTATTTGCAGTGTAGCTGCAATATTGCAGATTTAATATTACGCAATATTGTGTTTGAAATATTGTTGCACCATTGCATTTACAATATGCAATCTTGCAACGTTGCAGCAATGCTGCTGCAGCTTTTGTGCTGTATGGGGAGTCCTGTTATACCACATTTTTCCTGGCAAAATAATAAATTATAATGTTAATTTTTTAAATTTATACACGAATAAAAAGATTATAAACTATCGATTGAGCGCACTTCGAATGTCGTCGGATCAACCGTTGTTGAGATCCGAAAATCTGAGGGCCCGTCAATTCGCGTACTCGCGTAAACTACACGGTCGGTCTCGCGCGCGCGCGAGATATCAAGCTATCACGCTTATACTTGGCGCGAGACACTACCATGTCTCGTGATCATTGTATTCGTTTAAACTCGTATGTTTACTTTAGAGATACGACCTTTCCGCTGGAAACATCCATCATTTGTGAACAGTACGTCTTAATAAGTGCCAGTGGCAGGACGCACGTATATACGGACCCAGGATCGGTTTTTCGGACAAGGTATTTTGTTCTCTCTCCAAAAGAATTGCCCCTTCTCTCGTTACATTAAAATTAAGGTAATGTAATCTTGTTTCAATTATAGATACTTATCGTGGGCAAACGCTCGACACAATCGAAATTGGAGGATCGTGCGGTGGCCGTATCGAATACCATGGAAAGGCCCTATCGTAGCGCATTCGTTCAGCGATTAGCCAATGGTATTGCTGATATTTAAGAACGTAAAACTAGTATTTCATATAATATTTAGAAGTATGACTATTGATAATTTTTTTTATTGTTATAGAATCCAAACGGAGGAAGTTGTGGCAAACCGTTGGTTTGGCTCTGGACCGTTGTACAAAAATGATATACCTTTTTTTTTAAGAGTGCTCGTATTCGATGCCTGGCTGTTGAGTCAATTCACTGGCGTTAGGAAGTGGCTGCGGGGGAAAGGCCCGAAGCTTCTTTGGATCACGCTTCCACCGCTATTGTTATTTTTGCTTGGTAAGGAGCATAAACAAAAACATCACTGAGTTCCATTTTCTGATCCACGTGATATCTAAACCGATCCAAACGCAGCCTTTGTCTTCTTTCTGTTTCAGGGGCTTACATCGCGCAGAGACATTTCACTTTCGCCGATTCTCCGCGCAATGTCGAAAATGTGTCACCGAAACGATCTATCACATGTTCCCGGATATCTCATAATAAAATTGCGTTCTGCCATTTATCTGACTGGCTTCACTCTAGGGCACATCCCCAGAAGGATTTTGCCGAACGGAGATATATCGAGTGCGCCCAGAAAATTCAAAGTCTGGGTATGCGAAATAATTTCTTTCGTGGTTAAGTAAATTATATCATTTTAATACTTTTGCTGCTTTAGGGATTGTTGAGCGAGAACGATCTCGAGCCTGTGATGTTTGCCATATAATATGGCGAGTACGAATTCACGGCGAATTCTGACGAAAGTTGGCAATATTTTCCAGTTCAGGTAAATTTCTTTTTAAATAAAAATCTTCAATCAATTTAATGAACGTATAGAAACATATATATATACGTATATAAGCTGTTTTCGTTTTGCTATTGTATACTGTTTGATTAATGGATTTTAGATTTTATTAGGACTATAGAGTAATTGATGATCTTTTTGCGCAGAACACAAAGATCAAGAGTCCATACGAATATGTAGAATTGAGGATACAGAGCAATCACTGGGGGCGATATTGCACGTGTTTGTGCAGATGTCGCGTTCACGGGAGATCAATATAATTAGGAATTGATCGCGCCATGGCTCCTCTTCACTAAACATTCGCAAGATCGTTCAAGCAATAGCAAGAAACGAGCCACAGCTCTACTCAAATACGTGCCTTCAACTACCGTTAATCTTCAAAGGCTGCGTTTGGATCGGTCTAGATATCACGTGGATCAGAAAATGGAACTCAGTGATGTTTTTTGTTTATGCTCCTTACCAAACAAATTAACAATAGCGGTGGAAGCGTGATCCAAAGAAGCTTCGGGCCTTTCCCCCGCAGCCACTTCCTAACGCCAGTGAATTGACTCAACAGCCAGGCATCGAATACGAGCACTCTTACAAAAAAAAGGTATATCATTTTTGTACAACGGTCCAGAGCCAAACCAACGTTTTCCCACATCTTCCTCCGTTTGGATTCTATAACAATAAAAAAAATTATCAATAGTCATACTTCTAAATATTATATGAAATACTAGTTTTACGTTCTTAAATATCAGCAATACCTTTGGCTAATCGCCGAACGAATGCGCTACGATAGGGCCTTTCCATGGTATTCGATACGGCCACCGCACGATCCTCCAATTTCGATTGTGTCGAGCGTTTGCCCACGATAAGTATCTATAATTGAAACAAGATTACATTACCTTAATTTTAATGTAACGAGAGAAGGGGCAATTCTTTTGGAGAGAGGACAACTTCCTCCGTTTGGATTCTATAACAATAAAAAAAATTGTCAACCTTCAATAAACGCGATTTGCCACAGCACCTGTAACTGTAACTACAGGTGTAAATACATCGATTATTTAATGCCTTTGTATATTTTCAACGAAGCGATCAAAAAAACTTTATACACGCGCCGATATTTAATACACACGAGACGGGAGCCGTTTCATTCCGTCATCATTTAAACGCGTCAAACACTGTATATACATTCAATAACGTCGATAATTTATACCGATCAATAAGATTGCACGATTGATTGGGTCAAGCAGGAAAATAATTACTAACGAGCGTCGGCCCAATGGTGTTCTACAATTATTACCTATATATCTTCACTGCATAGCCTTGCTATAACTCGAGGAAAGCCTTAAGAGAGAGAAAAAAGAAACAATTTCGTACATATATCTCTTGTTCGACAAACGCGGGAGAACGATTAAGTGAGACGGATAAAGAAAATTGGCAAAGGCGGTTTTGTAATTTCGTAAGAAATTTTGGGAGTGAGAAAGAGTGGAAAAGAGAGAGTTTGTCCGTGCAATGTAATGCGTCGTGTAAATATCGATTTGGCAGCGTCTCGTGCAAGACTGACACGTCGAAAGTTACCCCAAAGCGCGAGTGTGAATCATATAATATAATAATATTCGCAATAATGCGACAGTACAAATTGTAAGCGATCGTAACGATCAATTAATTGTAGTTAAGTATCGTTAATTGCTAATTTCTAAGTGTGCAACACTTAGAATCCTTCTGGGGATGTGCCCTAGAGTGAAGCCAGTCAGATAAATGGCAGAACGCAATTTTATTATGAAATATCCGGGAACATGTGATAGATCGTTTCGGTGACACATTTTCGACATTGCGCGGAGAATCGGCGAAAGTGAAATGTCTCTGCGCGATGTAAGCCCCTGAAACAGAAAGAAGCGAGTGGTTTTCGGCCGCCTTTGTAAGGATCTAAACGATTAATAACAGCGGCAGTAACACCCCTCGATTGTATACATATTTATTTATATTTATTTATTTATATTTATTGATATTTATAAGATATTTAAATTAGGTATTTAACTTCTCTTTCTGTTATTTATTTGAAGATTGCGATGCGCACGTTCTCGCTTCGTAATATTCAGCGTCACTGGCGGTGAATCAACCATCGCCACGTCGAAAACGCGATTATCACCGCATTTTTTGTGTAAAACCATCTTTCCACGCACGCGCTAACCGCATGTTTAAATGAAATTTGCAAATAATTAGGTACATACATAAATCTATTATGTATAAATTCATGTTTAAACAAGATTATTGTTAAAATATATTTGGTACATTTTCACGTTGTACTATTTCATTTATATTGTGTAGTCCTTGACCTTTAATTTTATTAAGTAAAATATATGTTAAACATATTATATGTATATATATTATATTTACATACTCTATCCCCACCACCGCTGTCGCGATGGTAGCCTCAACTGGCATCACTGTCGGTGTGGTCAGTCACCACCACGATAGTTTTGCTGCGCGTCCCCCGCGTCCACTTGCGGATTGTTGTCCACGCGTTCTTCCGCGGTTCTTCTCCTGCGAGTGTCTCTCAAGATCCCAAAGAAATGGCGGAGTTCGTGGAGAAGCGGTGCCAGGACATGATCCCCGTGCTGGAGCAAATGCAGAGGATCAAGCTCTTTGACGAAAGCGAGATTAGGTGAGCGGACGTCGATCTAGGTTATGTACGCGCCCCACGCTCCCGAGTGTTGCAACGCTTCTCGTTCGTGTTTCCAGAAGCATCGCCAAGAAGCTCAAGGAGTACGAGTACAAGATTCAACGGCACACAAAGTGCAAGGAGGACTACCTTCGGTACATACAGTACGAGATGGATCTGCTGAAATTGATCAAGCAACGAAGGGATGTAGGTAGCTGCGTCTGCATCCAAACCTTGTCACGTTATATATGTATAAATATTACGTACATTTTACCAGGGTTGGGAAGTATCTCGTTGCTTGTAACGAAGTTAGGCTGATGGTAGAGAACGATCCTTAAACGCTTAAGTCGTAGATGTAGGGCGAGGCAGAGAGAAACGTAAGTCGTGAAAGGCTATTGTATGCGACTTACGTTTCTCTTTGCCTTGCCCTACGTCTACGACTGAGACAGTCTTAAGCGTGTACGGATTGCCTTACAGTTACGTTTTTGGTAACTCTAACTTAACTTCGTTACTTTCTCCCCATCTGCAACTGTAACTTAACTCGGTTACATTCTTTCGATAACTAGCAACTAATTTAATTGTTACTTTATATATTTTTTAACCTCCACACATCGCACTAGGCCTTGCATTTGCGCATAAACGCCTTTATCAACGCTTTACAATTCAAATGCGGATTTGATATTTTTACTTTCATTGCAAGAGAGTAACTGCAAAGTAACGATTCGTTACTTTATGAGTAACTGTAACTGTAACGCGTTACTTTTCAGAATTGATAACTTGTACCTGTAACTAGTTACATTTTTAGCGAAAAAAACAATAACTGTAACTAGATACTTTTATAAAGTAACTTTCCCAACCCTGCATTTTGCATATATTAGAGGAAAGTCCCCTATTATGAGATAGACTCCTAATATTTCTGCTAAATTAACGGGCATCGTCTGTTGGTTCCACCATGAATTTATTGCCCTTGGAGTGAAGTCTCTGTTTAGCGGAAAATTGTTAGATCGCGTAATCGTGAAAAAGAGATTTGCCATTGAATGTGGACATTGAAAACCTACTATCTCACATTAGAATCCTATCTCATAATAGAGGACTTTCCTCTATACAGGGTGCCCCAACTTAATGTCCCACCCCAAATAACGTTTTCATTTTTAATCGCAGAAAAATACGTTCCAGACAAAATTTATTTGGTTCGAAGGGGAACATAAGATGGTACCATTAGTTTGATCTTGATTGCTCCAATTCTCGTTTGCTCGTGGACGTCTCGTGGAATTGCTCCAATTATTGAAAATTTTTGTGTATTGTAAATTTTGTGTGTTACAATACACAGAAATTTTCAATAATTGGATGACTATTGCAACAGCATATTCCTGAGACCAAATCAAGTGAAAAAAAGTCCTGTACTACTTTTCCCACCGACAAACAATTATCGAGATATCATAAGCTAAACATTGAAATAAAATATAAATTTTCTTTTGAATATCTCAAATAGTATTAGGCAAATCAAAAAATGTTTCGAACAAAAGTTGTTTATATTAATTAGTAGAATAAGATAGTATAATAAACAATAAGGGGTTCCATTAAAAAAATTGAAGGTGACCTTTACGTGACCTTCAAGCAACTCGTCAAGGTCAAACTAATGGCACCATCTTATGTCCCCCTTTGGACCAAACAACTTTTGTTTGAAACGTTTCTTTCTGCGATCAAAAATAAAAATGTTATTTGGGGGTAACATTAAATTGGGACACCCTGTATACTTGTAGAGTCGCATGTATTCTAATTAAGGTTGCCAGATGGCCGGAATTTCCGGGAAAGTCCCGGAATTCTTAAGCTTGTCCCGTGTCCAGTGATTGATGTCTTCTGTTCTGGAAAATCAGAATTTCAACAAAATCATAAAATTCATGTCTATAACTGATATCTAATTAACGTATTTGGTCATTGCCAGTGCACAGCGGTACCCTCTCCACTTCTTAGCCGTCCGCCCGCCACCTGTATTTTTGTTTTAGTTAGAAGCTCTTCGCGACATAGGACGTATCTATAAGTATGTTAACTAACTTAACTATTGTTTAAATTATACAGTTAATTTAAAAAATATATACAGGGTGCTAAAAAACTAAGTGCCATAAATTTGTGTGATGAAAGAATAGATGAGTACAAGCATTTTAAGTATTGGAACCATGGGTCGGTGACGTTTTATTACGGCGTGACGGGCGATTAATTGAATCGTCACAACTCCTGCAATGCAGGTGGATCGGACGGGGTGG